CATCCGGAAAAAGGAACATGAAAATCTTGAGAAATACCGAGGTCTCAGAGAGGAGCTGGAGAGGGCCTGGAGGGTAAAGGTGACAGTAGTGCCCGTGGTGATCGGTGCACTCGGGGCAGTGACCCCAAAGCTAGAAGAGTGGTTACAGCGGATCCCCGGAACAACCTCGGACATCTCGGTCTAGAAATGTGCAGTGCTAGGAACAGCAAAGATACTGCGCAGAACCCTCAAGCTCCCAGGCCTCTGGTAGATGACACGAGCTTAGAGAGGGATAACCGCCCGCGGAGGGCGAAATGTGAGATTTTTTTTATTTTTTATATATATATTGGCCTTTGAGTCTGAAGGTCGTCGGTTCAAGCCCACCACGAGGCCTTCTCCACTGACTCCCACTGTTGTCGTTGTGTCTTGATTATATAGAGGAACATGACTTGACTGATTATTACATTTTATGACTGAATAATGTTTGTTCATGCAGCAAAAAACATTAAAGAAAAGGATCATATTGTAATGCATTGTACACAACAAGCTAAAACAGTAGTTAGTATCAAATGGTAACAATGATGTTCTGCAGAAACAGCACCTCCTGTTGTAAGAGGCAAAGACATGCCTGAAACGTAAGCTTACTGTTGCTGAGACTCATAAAGAAAACAAACAACATACACAATTAAACTGTGAGACTAAACCAGTGGTCTGACCAATGCGGAGTAAACAAAGAAATGCATAGAATAGAATCAGGTATAATGAGATATCCTGAAGAGTCCACCATACAAAAGTACAGTGTGACCGCAACTGTAATATTGACCTTGTTTGAAAATAAAAATAATGTTGTTGAGTATGTGGCAGTTCCTGCTTTATGTAAGACTCATTAACCACATAATCAACAGAGAGATGACCAATCTGCAGTTACCTTTAGTTTACTTGATTTAGTACATGCAGCTAATGAGCCGTATAAACTGGCTGCATTTTTGGTGTAACTGTTCTGACCTTATTAATCAATGACAGGAAAGAACTTGGGAGGACAAGGTCAAAAGGAGCCAGACTTTTTAGTTAGAATCCGAAGGCGTGGACAAGCTCTTGTTATATTTACTCAGCAAACATCATTAACATTCCGAATGGACAATGATGCATAGGTGTATACTAAGGACTAACATGTCATTTTCTTATGCATCACTGTGGCAGACAAATTGCAATAAATAAACTAACATCATGAGAAGTGATTTCCAAATGTATTAAGGAGCTCTTTCTTGCAACAACTCATTTTTCCTAGTCTTGTCTAGACTTGTATTCGCACATTATGGAAGAAACATTATCCTCCTATACAAACATGTGACTGACCGACCAGATCAGGGACTATAAAAAACACTACTAACCTTAATTCTGATCAGGAAAAAAGGCAAATTAAGTAATGAAATAAAATAAAAAGAATGTAATGTGTTCTTGTCTGAATGGCCTTCAGTCTCTATCTACAAACCCAAACAAGAGTCTGACAACTTTTAAAGCGTAAATATGAAACCATGTGCAAGTTACTGCTTGTCTGAACCAGAAGCAAGAAGGAACCTGTACCGTTTCACGTAGGAATTTAATAATAAATTGTGTTTACTGTCAGACGGTGGGAACACTGCACATTTTTCTTGAACTCCCTGTGAACTTTCACTTTAACTATCGTCTGAAATAGTATTTACATTTTAATGTTTGTCATTATAAATTCTCAAAGAAGGTTTACAATAAATATAACAATAAAATAATATTGAACAATAAGTTATTATAAAAATTATTATGGATGTAATGGCTATTTTGATAATCAATGAATCTATCAATAATTCTTTTGATCAATCAAGTCGTTGTTTAGAACACAAATCATATTTAACTCACCATGACCCAGACAAAGCTGAAGTGAATCTATCAGAGGACATCCTAACAGACTTCTCATTAAAGCAAGACATTTATATATTCATATTTATATAGTTACTGCTTAAAATCACAGCAGACGTGTGTTGAAGTCTGTTTTAAAAGCAGTATTTTTCAATAATTGACAATTATTTGTTATTAATAATGATTTATTAGTTGCAATTAATCAATGAATTAATTGTTACACTAATAAATATTGTGGTATACCAATATCTCTGCCATAAAGAACAATATAATGAAACACTTTAAATACTTGGACATTGATCTATACCAGCCATTCCCAAACTCAGTAACACCGAGGCCCCCTTAAAAATCTGACGGGTCTGCGTGGCCCCCCCAAAATAATAACCAAGAAGACAACATTAAGAATAGGCTCTTCTGGCTATTTTATTTTGGGGAAATAGCCTCTGCTACAAACATTGTAATACAAAAATGATTACAGTGGATTATTCAAGTCAAATAATGAACACAAATATTTTAATATTACAAACAAAACATTATAAATTTAACATTAAATAATTATATATATTTTTTATTTTTTTTATGACCTCCCGCGGCCCCCCTGCAGTGCCCTCGCGGCCCACCAGGGGGCCGCGGACCCCACTTTGGGAGACACTGATCTATACTATACCTAAGTAATTACACCATGTAATAATACAATTCAAATTACATCAACAACTTTTATGTGTCCCCAGACACAAGGTCAAATCACAGTCAACCATTTCATGATCCATGATTCATGAGGTTTTGATTGTAATGTCTTTATTAAACCAGTAGGTGAGAAAGCTACAACCTGTCCTGTACCTTTCGAGTATAATGTTTGGGTCTGTTTATATATACTGTATTGTCTATTGTCCCACAGTGGGGACATTTTTGTGTTGCAGCGGGAAAGAGCATACATGTCTTAATGATGTCATCTTTAGTTAGAATACATTTCTCTAAACATATGTCAAGACTATGTCTTGGTTAATGTTTTGTCCCTAAAAAAATTAAATGTTCAATGTCTACTAAATGATAGCATTTTTCTAGTTTGATATGATCAGCCTCAGTTGTCACAAACACTAACTCTAAACAGAAGATCAATTATTTGCAATAAACAGGACTCCTTAAACCCTACAAAGTTCAAAAGTTATTGCAATACAAAGAAACAGGAAAATGCACATGCAAGAAATATTGCACAATATGTACATCCATGCGTCATTGAACAATACAGTAAGTATTGTTATATTCCCCCGACTCCACACAGGATGGTGGTAAGCTGGCAGCTGTCCTAGGATTAGGGATGCTGCACGGGTGCTGCACAGGTGCATAGTACTGGACATAATATAAACCAAGGTATGCTAATCATTGTCCAAAGTTTTCATAGGGTTTGTATCAGCACTCAGAAGCTCTGCACTTTCCCTCGGGAAGTGGACATGGCTGAAGCCCAGCTGCTAGGGGGACAGTGCAAACAAACACCAATGTGAGAGCAGGCCCCACATACTGACCACATAATAGTGGCACCAGTCAAACAAAGAGCAGTAAAGGTCTGTACTTCTATGTAATTAAAAATGAGAATGCTAGACAGCAGGCCTAACAGTTAATAATCGTATTACAAATCAACCAGATCACATCTCATCATTGTACTGACATTGTTACAATACCAGTGATTAAGTCACATCTGTGTTTGCAAACTGGACGGTGAGACATGCCTCTTTGCCTTTTGGAACAGAAATGTGTATTTTGAGTATATAAGATGATGTATATTTGTTGTGCTTTTGAGGATCAAGTCTGATGTTTTATGCAACAATCATGACAGATCTAGGCAGACAATCTTTAAAAGAGACGTGGTCATGTGGCTCCTAGTTGCACATTCGCAGTGGTCCAGAAATAGTTCACATTTACTTCCTGTCTTATCCATTTCCCCTTGAAAGGTTTCAACAATACCAGTACTCTTGAGAACAATAAATGTAATATCTATTAAAATACAATGCCAGTTGTTCATTCCTCATAAGACTTACATGTAATAGGAGATTTGGGATAGGTTATTCCAAAGTCTTAAAATGTAACTGATTTAATTGGCCAAATAAGTTCTTATGCAGTATTAGTAGTAATGCATGTGGGTTTATCTACATTTCATTTAAATTGTCCTCCATGCAATTTTTATGTTTTGCTTTTGAAATGTATGAATAAAAAAATATTTACTAATTATAAAGAAATGTTAACAAATTATAAAAAAGGAAGTTAGCATGATTTGATAAAAATGAAATGTAAAATGTAATGTAAAAGAAGCTGAAATTCTAAGATTTTTTTTTTTTTGCTGGATAACTTTATGTACCTAATACATTACGTTACATAGAAACACCAATTGGCTAAAATGGATGGGTTCTATCAGATTTTTTTAAACTAAAATATTATCGTTCAGAATTAAGATTGCCTTGCACAGCATTGCAAATGACCAGCGAAAACTTACTGCTGACCTACACCCACTGAAAAGGGCACCGGTAGACCAGCCCATTTGCAATCACCTGACAGGAGCAGACAAAACATCAAATCAAAATCCGTGTCTACCTCTGACAGATTATATGGGAATAATTATGTCAACAGGCACTGGTGGGTGAGGTTGAAAGAAATAGGCTACTAAATCTAAATCCCCATAAATGGGGGGGAAACAGGTCCATACTTCATCGTTACAGATAAATGCTATAGTGCCCTTGGTTCATTCACATTCTGCTCAAGCCTCCCAATGCAAAATGCTCACCGTGCAGAACCTTTGCTCTGCTCCACTTGGGTGCGCCTGCCGTCTCATTCATGACTCGTGGGACTGGGGAGCGATACTTATTGAAATCTATTAACGTCGACAAATAAACATCTGAATTCGATTGCAATAAGATGGCGTAAAATACGATTTACAGACGTGTACGTGAATTTACAGGGGCGTTGTGAATGTTCAGTGTTCTTCATTTTGGTGCTGTCATGCACATGTCTTGACAAGCAGACAGAAATGCGTGCACAATGCGGACGCGGTGCGTTTCGACTGACTACCTATGATCTATATATTTCACATACCGCGAGGTGGTCTACAGATTTACCAAGGAGTAAACCCAACCGACCTGCTTGTGTCGTGTCCGTCAGATCGTAGTTGATGCCTGGGTACTCCCTCAGCTTCCTCCCGCTGAGGTTGAGGAACCCGGAGCAGACGGCATCCTCCAGGGCACGGTCCAGGCTGCGCGTCGTGTGGGGCTGCTGCTGCTGGAGGTGCGGGTACTGGCTGTTACCAGGACTCCAGTGAGGTCCAGTGGTGTAGTGATGGCTTTGTAGCGCCGGGACCGATCCCACACCTCCCTGACTAGACGCCATTTTCGTAAAAAAAGAAAATTCTCTTTCAATAATAAGAGCGCACAGCGGCAGCCTCTCCGCCCATGCGCAAACAGACTACTATCGGCTCATTCCGGGGACGGGCACTTGGGGATGGGCTTGTGTGGTGATGCTGCTGCTGTACTGCTGCTGTGGTGGAGGTTATTGGTGAGCAATGAGCATCATGGTAAGCATGCTATATGGAGGCCATTTTAGGACTTCACACCTGCTTACAAGCCTGATTACCATATTCCCATTAGGGGTCACAATTAATATTGAAAATATTTTGGTTGTTTAGAGCAACTAATCCTATTTGGCCATTTCGGATTAATAATTTAGGCCCAATCTTTTGTACCCCTAACCCAGTCCTGGCTCTTTCCCTTAAAAGAACTAAGGAGTAGGGCTGAAAACCTATCAAATGAGTTACGGCCTAGCCTATTGGGTTATAGAATAGTGGTCATTGTAAGTGACTTACATTTGCTGTAGTTATCCCACTGTATACAGATGCAAAGTGAACAAGCAATATAGAACCATCTTTTGATGGTATATACATCATTATTTTCCCTGTAAGGAAATTGGTCCTCTGCATTTGACCCATCCTTCCATTGTCACAAGGCAATGGGTCACCTGTCGGTAGCAGTGGTCGCAACAGCATATCTTCTGATGACTGGAGATAGAAGCTCTTATATATGGTGCATATTATTGGGTGAGGGAAGTAGAGGGCCCAAAGAAACTCATTCAATGACAAATTTCAATGTCATTGTTAGTAAGTAAGTAAGTAAGTAAGCTTTATTTATATACCGCCTTTCACAGACCAGAGTCACAAAGCGGTTTACAATATAAAAATTGTTACACATATTACAGCAAAAGAAAAGGATGAAATAATAATAAGAGCCCTCAGATTGCACACATCAAACAGGGTCTGATATTTAAGATAATATATAATATAATAAGTAATAAGATAAGAGAATACGACATAATAAAACTCTGGAGATCTTATTTCACTTGGTTCAATGATAGTACTCAGGAGAGTAACAGTGTAGTCAGCAGGAGGTGTTTACAAATGTTTATATTGCACTTTAGCTGCAGAGAATACGACCAGAATAAACAAAAGAGATAAAAGCAGCAGCAGGTAAAGGGACTAGTGAATTATCAGAACAGAAATATCAGATGAATGGCTATGTATTAATTTATTATAAATAATAACACCAGGTAAAGTAACCAGTGACATCCATCACGAAATCAACACAGAAAATTGCCATACATTGCTAGTGAACTCGAGGAGGTGCTATACTGCTATGTAGTCAGAGGACTGAGGGTAGAGCAATGGCAATGCCTAAATGAGGATATCAATAATCCAACGTGAATAGAGTGTTCAGACGGGAGGAATAGTCAGTAAGAGGCAGTTTCGGAAAGGGCCCATCAGAGATGCAGGTATACGGCTTATATTAGAGATATGCAGCTTCTCCTCATCACGTTACCTTCGCAAACGAGGCTTCAATCCCGCGTTGCCCTCATAGACTGTAAAGTAAAGTATTTAAATGTATGCGATTCTGAAAACCAACCAACAGATGACGCCATTTCCACTGTTTTATTTCGAGGTGATTTTTAAAGTCTATGGGTGATTCAATATGTTTCACTCATTCATGAGGGCTCCAAGTCACCATTACTACATGGTGACCAGTGTATTCATTCCATATTCAATGGAATGAATGCGATAGATTCGAGTGCAGCGACAAAGCACGTGGGGCACTTGGTGGATTGTAAACATTCCTCCAAAGTGGTTTAGAAGCCAAGAAGCCACCCTCCGTCTGCTGTTTTGAATTGGAGTCAGAAAGTTTCCTGTTAAATGGTTTCAATCTATGGCAATAGTGGAAACAATATCATTGTTCCTCCATCGCTTAATTATTTTATTTATTTGTATTGTTTATTTGGTAGGGTCAGTACAAGTTAATGAACACATCACTCCGGATTAGCCATGTGCTATTTTGCGTCCCACATTCACACTCACCTATTGATCACGTTTTTAGTGGAAGGGGAAACCGGAGTACCCGGAGGAAACCTACGCAGACACTGGGAAAACATGCAAACGCCCTGTTCCGACCGGGATTCCACTTGAATGGAAAGATGTCCTGCCAAAACTTTCAATCATTCATTGTTGCTTGAGCCCCTTTCTTAGGATTTGTCTGAAATAAAATACATGATTGTAAAGTGAATCAAAGACTTAAGTTTCCTTAATTTGCCAAATAAAATATACTTATGGCTGCTGTGGATATCCCTTTAACACAACTGGCCCTCATCTGTCTGCAGCAGAATGAGCAGGCGTGCCTTTCTCCTCAGCTCGGATGTCTCTTTCCTTCACAGCAGTAGGATGTTGTGTTAAAATTATTTTTGTCGTCGTATCCAAAATTCCGAAGCAGTAGCCTACCGTTATTTGTGAGTGCGATCTTTAGATGTGCTTCAATATAAGAGTTGAATAATTTACACTCATTCTTTGAAAGGCCTTTTCACCAAGAGCTTCTTGTTGCTGTTTGTAGCAAATGTCGGCTAGCTTGATGCTAAACGAACTGCATGTGACAAATAGTCTTAATTCCCCCTACATTTCATACCTTAGCAGTGTGCTTGCAAATGAATGATAAGTAGTGGTTTGCATTCGTAAGAGGGTAGCGTCACGGGCATTTTCTTGGAGCCCTCGTCAGAGCGTTGCTGTGACAGTTAGCATGTTAGCTAAACAAGCTAACTGATGTTGTTAGCCACCGTTCATACAAACCACAGTAGCAGCAGCAGCCAGGTGGGTTAATGTGCTCATTCTCTATCTTTTCATTATTATTGCTATTCTGTGTGGCTAATATTTCACTTAAAAACTTAGTTAAACGTGTGTGTTAGTTTAACATTATCTATTTAAAAAAAGTTTTTTTAAATTCTGCCTTGAAAGAAACCAATAGCTACAACTATATTTTAGTGAGCGCCAATTTATTTATTGTTGGCGACAATGGCGAATGATGACATTTCATCAGCTCAGATTCATATGGGAGGTTTGCCATTTACAGATATTGACCCTATTAGGTGGAGAATGGCAGAGAGAAAGGGGAAAACGGCAATCCCTGCCAAAATACTATCAAAGAAAGAACAACAGGAGCTCAAAAAGAAGGTACAATCAAATGTGTGATCGCATTCCTATCTCACAATAAGATTGAAAATGTTTATTAACTCTTTCTACAACTTTTAGCATTAAATTGTATATCGTTAACCTATTATTGGTCCTTTATAGGAGGAGGAGAAGGCAGCAGAAGTTTTTGAAGAATTCTTGGCAACATTTGAACCAAGCAACAAAAGTGGAGGAAAGACCTTTGTTCATGGTGGAACAGTAAATCCAGCAAAAGGTGAATTTTTACTTTTAATAGTCCAATTGGCTGTACTCATGTGAAGGCACACTTGAAGCTCAGTGAGCATAATGGTAAAAAGATGACTGACATTATTAAAAGAAAAAAAGGCTATACCTAAACACAATTTTGGGATTAACATTTTTTGTATTTAATGGAGGAGGAGACGAGGCCAAATCAGAGCGACTTTATCGACCCACATCGAGGTTTGCCCCACAGTATGTTGCCCCACTGCCACCTCCAGAAAGTAAAAGGCCTGTAAGTGCAATATATTTGTTTATTATGTTATTTGAGCATGCCATTCTGTGAAAAACAAATTTCTTGATTTTTTTTTTTTATCTACAGACATTCAAAAAGAAGGTGGAAGAAAAAAAGAAAAGTAACCTTGAGCTATTCAAGGAAGAACTAAAAATGTAGGCGTTTTCTTTTTCTCAATGGGGAATTGTATTGTCAAGATTAATTTGTGAAGTTGTTCCTGGATATGTGGGGATTGTTGATGTTGTGTTATCATTTTCTTCATTGCGCTGATGTAATATTGGCAACACAGCCATATTGCCTGGTGAAAACAAAGAGCTGTTAAAACTGAAGCACAGGTTTTAGTTTAAATTCAGTGATTGATGAACGTGTACTTATTCTCAATCCTATCAGATTGTCTTTGATAAATCACTACAGTGGAAATCACAAGAAATCCAATTTATAAAGTTTGATATGTCCTGCTGAGATAATGGGGCCTGTGACACTCAAGGCAGTCAGGGCACACTGCAGGATTGTTTTAATATGGTACACCTCGATCCAAAATCTATGCACTGAATATGTAACTTTTGACGTTGCACAACATGACTCCACCTCTACCAACAATCTTAAGAAATAGATGAAATTATATCCCTCTTCGGGTTGTCTCTTGTAAAGTCAACTGCCACACATGATTTAAGCATGTTTGGTAGCAAGAAAAGAATACACAGGTGTTCACCCAGCTCTCACCAAGTTTGTAGTAGTAGTAATCTAGTAGTAATCTTTATTTATATACCGCCTTTTCAGTGCAGATCGGAGTCTCAAAGCGGTTTACAATTGTTATTTTTTTGGGCATTTGTCTCTCACTCCTCACAGAGATAGGAGCAGGGGCGCCTTTGTTTGTAGTCACCTAGCGCTACGGTTGTTAGCCAGAATCTTATGTTACTGCGATGAAGAGATTATTTTACTATGCAAAATAGTAACTACATTAGTGTGTTACCGTCTGAGATTGTAAATTGTAATCGATAAATTCCAGAATACAGGAAGAGCGTGAGGAAAGACATAAACGAAGGGGAGACTCAGGAGGGCAAGGAGGAGATATTCCAGTGCCATTTACAGCTCGAGCAAGTGAGTGTTTTAACTTTTATAACAGTTATAAAACCTCAAGACCCACCTCTTCAGAATGGATTGTGATATATAAAATTGGTGATTATTTATTGTATTTGTTTTTATCATTTTTATCTATTGTGAAGGGTCTGAGCATTTTGACATGCTATATAAATAAAATGTATAATTACAACTCTGTATTGATGCTATGTTTTTATGTCTTTTATGTATTTCAGCTGCATTATATGACGACCCCACGGCACCCATCAGCACTAACCTCTATATTAGCGCCATAAGCCCAAAGGCAGGAAAATCTGTTTAAAACATGAACTATCAATTTTTTCCTGTCAACTAATCTGTCTTGATTATTTTGATTATGTTTATAGATGAATGAGGAGATACTATGTAAAGAGTTTGGCAAATATGGACCTCTGGCCAGTGTGAAGATCATGTGGCCCAGAAACGATGAGGAACGTAACAGAACGTCTAATCGAGCATTTGTGGCCTTCATGACTAGGAAAGACGCAGAGAGGGCTTTGGCTTCACTCGAAGGTGAAATTATGTCATAAGATGAAATAATCAAAGTGTATATGGAAAATACACATTATATTGTGTGTGTTTAGGCAAAATTATTATGGGTTTTGAAATGAAGCTGGGATGGGGTAGACCTGCTCGTATCCCGCCTCAACCATTGTACACACCAATGGGAGTAAGGACGATCCCGCCTCCTCCACCTTCTGGACTGCCCTTCAACGCACAGCCTCGGGACCGTTTCCGCAATGATTTCACCAAACCACTTGGCAGTTCAAAAGCAGAATTTGAAAAGGTATTTGGCATTCCTATTTTACATTTGGCTATCAATATATGCTTACATTTCTCATTTACAATGTACTTTGTTTTTTTTAGAGTTTGGCGGAAGCCATTGTCAAAGTAATTATACCGAGCGACAGGTAAATAGGTCTTACACTATATTGCTCTGTTTACTTACTTTATAATATATTGTTATTTACTCCCCCCTCAGAAATCTTTTATTTTTAATCCACCGGATGATAGAGTTTGTAGTGAGAGAAGGCCCAATGTTCGAAGCCATAATAATGAACAGGGAGAAAAACAACCCGAAGTATAGGTAAGATGCCGATTGTGTTAATGGATCGTTGTGAAACCATCCATTATCTTTATACTTTCATTCTCAGATTTCTTTTTGACAACAAAAGCCAAGATCATGTGTACTATCGATGGAGACTGTACTCTATCCTGCATGTGAGTCTGAATACATTTTTCCAACAATATCATATTTCCATACACAAAATTATTATTTAATTACTTTCTATTATATTTATGTTATTAATGTATATATTTTGATTTATAAAGATGTAAATAGTTTAAAATTCTTTATTTCACCCTCCTCTCATTGTTTGACTGCAACAGGGAGAGACTCCTAGTAAATGGAAGACGGCAGATTTCCGTCTGTTTCGTGGAGGTTCACTTTGGAGACCTCCGATCCTCAATGACTTCTCACACAGAATAGAAGATGAAGCAGAAACCGAGGGCGTGGCTCCCCCACAAGAGGAGGAGGAGGAGGAGGAAGAGGAGGTGAAGAAAGGCCAGCTCAAAGCTAGGTGAGCTTGAAATGAAAAATTATTTAAATTGAACTATATTCCACATCCAAGCTACAGGCGCAATATATTATACTTTTTGTTTTTTGTTAGGTTCAAGCTAAAACTGGAGGAGATGCTTAAAGAACTCACCCCTCGGAGACAGGATATTGGAAATACGATGGTGTTTTGTCTACAGAGGGCCGATGCTGCAGAGGAGGTTGTGGCGCTCATAGCAGAATCTCTGTCAATGCTGGAGACGCCTCTTCAGAAAAAGGTGAGTGCCTGTCATTCATTAGTGTATGTTGTTTTTCCAACACTTATAATGAATTAATTGTTTTTATTCTTAGATTGCCCGATTATATCTTGTGTCAGACCTTTTACACAACTCCTGTGCCAAAGTAGCTGGTGCGTCACATTATCGTAAATAGTAAGTAACCTCTGTATGAATGTAACACAATTATCCTTTTTATTTGGAAGTCCTAATGCTTGCATGATGTTCAGTTTTGAATCAAAGTTAATGCAGATATGTGGGGATCTCTGTGCATCACATAAAACTATACAAGCCAGATTGCAGGCGGAACAGTTTAAGGTAAGTTGTTATTTTATTCAAGGCAAGATTTAAGTATTAAACATATTTCATATTTGTCCACCACAGCAAAAAGTCATGAATTGTTTCAGAGCATGGGAGGAATGGGCTATCTACCCTGAGCAATACTTAATCTATCTACAAAACATATTTTTGGGCTTTGCTAAACCAGAAGAGGAGGTTGTAGAAATGCCAAAAGTGAGCAAAGTACATTCCTTGAACTTAATCCATTTATTTCGAAACTGACGCTGTGGTTTCCATCCTTCAGGAGCGACCCTGCGATCTGGATGGTGCTCCCATAGATGGGTTACCGTTGAGCAGAGCAGATGAACTGGACGGCTGTCCACTGGGCTGGGACCCTCTAGATGGAGAGCCGGTTGATGATTTAGACGGTGTTCCTTTAGGGACTTCCATTGATGACATTGATGGGCTTCCCTGTAAGTTGCAAGTACTTTCAACGTTATCAGACCTGAGTCACGGAAGTATATTCAAGTAGATGCTGTTTGTGTTTACAGTGGAGGATGGTCCTCACAGCAGAGTGCCTTTGTCTAAGTGGGAGCAGATGGGTGATTCAAGCATAGTTTCATCAGGTAACACAGGTTATACTGTTTTTTTGACTGCAATAATTATAACGTGTGTATTTACTTTTTAGTTAAGACGTCTTCAAAGTGGGATAATGTGGAGGAGCAAGAACATAAGAGTCAACAAAAGTAAGCACTGCCAATATATTCTGCACACTGGTAAATAAAGCCTATGAAAATTAAATTTCCATTGCAGAAAGAAAAATGGCGGTACTGATGACTCGGACAGTGACAGCAGTGATTCCTGCTCCTCGTCTTCCAAATATGAAAGTGCAGACTTCCAGAGCTCTCTAAAAAGTTTCCAAATGTCTGAGATCAAGAGAAAGCGATTGAGGGAGTTGGAGGCAAGTGTCTTTATTATAAAAGTGTCATTTCTGGTTGTTTGACAGTGAATTGGCTGACATTATTTCTTGTTAAGGTGAAAGTTTTGAAGATGCAAGATGAACTGGAGTCAGGGAAAAGGCAAAGGAAATCTGGGATGAGCATACAGCAGCAAGTGGAATACTACAGGAACAAGCTTCTACAGAGGGTATCGTTCGATACAAATAAGTAATTTCATATTGGTTTTTACTAATTGTGTATGTACTACTCCAAGGAATTTGATAAAGAAACTGTAAATAGTAAGACATCCACAACAAAAGAGAAATCAAAAGACGATAGAAGGAGAGAGGAAAGTCGACGTGGCAGAAGTAAAGATTCAGACGGGAGAAGATCCACAAAGTCCAGATCGAGGTAAAACAGTCATTACAACATTGCAGTTTTATTTTTTAACTTAATGTGCTTCTTGACTAGGTCGAGGTCACCTAAACGTTCCAGGCGCTCTCGAACCCCATCTCCAAACTACAGACGAGAAAAATCACGGTCTCGATCACCGCATCGGTCGCATAAAAAAACGAAGAAAAGCAAACATTGACTTATAACCGTTAAACAATTCTTCTCAATTAAGAAACTGCGACATTGTTTTCCAGCACTATTTTGTATAATGTTCCAACAATTCTCTAGATTTGTTTTAATGTTTTTTTAAGAGGGATAATATGTGTTGCAAAGCTGTGAAAGCAAGGAACAAAAAACTACAGTTGTGATGAATGTATGTCCTAACCAGTATGATTGTGACATTGATGCATTTTTAAGTAAAACTATCTATTGAGAGAGCTCTGGTTGATGAGGACTTTTGAGAAATTGACAACCCAGTACGCTACACAAAATGTTTTTCATAAATTGTGCTCTGAAGCTTTGTATCAAAAGTCTGATTTATAACGTATATTGTTGGCTCTTAATTGATATCATTGACAACATTTTAAAAAAGCTGTATTTTGTAGGCACATTTAACATGTAAATTATCAAACAATCACCAACTCACGTAATTTACTCAAACATACAGTAGATTGAAATATATGAAAAGAGGAAAAAATAGTAAGGTGCCCATGGTAAAAGTCTTCACACTGGTTTAGTCAGTCATACACCATGTCCAAACGGTTCTAGAATCGTCATGGTTCAAAAATACCGAAACGGTTGAAAGGAATAGAAACCAGGGAGAAATGTTCTGTGGGATAACTCCCTCTTAAGTTAATGTCCTGCTCTTGGAGAGCTAACCGTTGTAGCACAGTCCATGTTGAAGTTCTGTTCAATACTTTTTGACATTGATGAAAACTTTTATGGCTCCGGTGAAGTCTGCTGAAAGCAAAACTTCAGAATGGTCTGTCTTAAGGGCACCTGCAAAGACAACCAATAATCACATATATAGAATATGATCACAGTGATAGAAAGTCAGCATTACCAGAGGGAATGGTCTCTGAGTCAGTGGAGTCCAGACTCTTACACTCTGCTTCAGGCTTTTCTGCTGGGCTTTCTTGTGGGATAATAAGTTCTGGGTGTGGTGCAAAAATGGCTGAAGTGACCACTGCGTTGTGGGCTGAAATTAACAAATATGTCAAAGAAGTACACAAATTTACAAACTTAAAATCAATCTTTGACATTACCTTTGATTCCTTCCCAGAAGTCATTGCGGTCACGGCGTACAGAGGTGAATTTACTCAAGTCATGATAAGTGCTCCATATGTAGATGTATTTATCCTCGGAGCCACTCACAATAAACGAGTAGTCGTGGCTATGGGAACATAACAACATTACCTTCCATTGGTTTTCTTTCAATTACAAACAGGTGAGTGTGCATAAAGACACTGGTAACTGGCCATAACTACAAAGCTCACCTAAAGCTGGCCTTAATCTGGCTGCTGCTATTGACATAACCTTTATATTTCATGGATAAAGACAAGTCCCTCAGGTCATACAAGCGAATGCGGGAATCATTAGAGGTCACCAAAATCTGTGGACATGAAACGGACTGGGCTGAGTAACTGAATAACTGAATGTCAACAACACTTAAGAGTGTCAAACGTACCTTGTTCTCTCCTGGTAAAGGTTCAATTCCTGTGATTTTGCGACCCACTTTGTTTCTACCTCTTGTCGACCTCACATGAATTTGGGTGTGATATTTTAAACGCTATTAATATAAAGGTAAGAATTAAGTTTGTAAAAACAAACAAAAGGCCCATAATATTAGACATAGGGATTTGGTTACCTCTGTGTCATAGAAAATGCATCGACCATCATAGGTGCCAATCACGGCATATTTCCCATTCTGACAGAAATTGGCAGCAGTGATGAGCCGTGTTTGCCCATCCACTTCGTTCCACAAAGCCACTTTTTTGTCGGGAATGTTCCAAAGTCGCAGCTTTCCATCAAGAGAACCACTAAGGAAATATCTGTCATCCTAAGGAAACACATTTAACATGTACAATTACTTTTTGAATAATGTAATGAAGCTCAAAAATGACCAAAACTTACTCTTGGATGGAAAGCTATAGCTGTAACAAAATCTATGTGTTGGAAACAGCACAAACACTCCCTCCTGGATATGTGCCATAATCTCACTGTTTTATCCATGGAAGAAGACAGCAAGAAAAAGTTCTACAAAAACAAAAATAGGTCAGATTATGTATGTATTGTATATTGTAAACATGTCGGGTGTCACCTTTGACCAAGACAGGTCTAATAGATCAGCTGTGTGACCTTTGTACTTGCAAAAGGGAACCTGTCGGAAAGGAGCATTCCTGTCGTCCGTTTCTGGGTCTTCTGGAACACAACTTGCCTGAAATGTGAAAGAGGTGATTTTCTTACATCTAGAGAAATGTTAATGTGTTTGAACATAGAAAAAAAGAACCTACAGCTGTATCTGTATCTGATTTAGAAGAGCATAAACTTTCTTGTGATGGTGAGGGCGAGACACGACCTGCAAAAAAAGTGTACAATTATTACAAAATTACAAAAATCAGGACAATGACACACTATCCAAGAGTGTTTACCTTCAGTGTTGTACTTTATTCTCATGTTATTAAAATAGTCAAATGCTGTTTTTAGCACCCAAATGCGAACTACATTATCCTGCCCTGCACTTGCCAGAAGCCTCCCACAGTGAGAAAACTTCATGGTCCAAACAGCACCCTGCGGGAACACAACCACATGTAAACATACAACCTGACAAATATGCAAAGCCATGTTCTTTACTAACCGTGTGTTCTCCACTGAGATCCTGCACAACTTTAATCTGATCAAAGTCAAAGGGTCCCTTTAAGCTGTGTGCAGCCTTAAATTTGGCAGGCCGGGTGTATGGCATGCCTTCATCATCACTGGAGGATGGATCATCCTGGTCCGTGTGGAACACTGACAGCAGCTCAAACAACGGTCAGAATAATATTTAGTCACTTCAAAAATGTTGTTGTGAAAAAGCGACTGTACCTTCATCACGCACACTTTTCACTTTGTTCACTGCCTTCTCTCCATATTCTTCGGCAAAATGCTTGGCCTTTTTCACAGACTTACCAAGGAATTTCTTTAACTGAGTCCTTAGGTGGAACAATAATTAATTAATTAGTTGATGTTTAAACGATAATGCAAATGCACTTTAAGAACACTTCTCACGTTTTCTGTTTCAGCTTCCCTCCATCAGTGTCTGTCAACGAAGCTGATGGTTTGTCATCGTCATCAGATTGTGCTGCATCATTTCTAAAGAAGAAATATCAAAACATAAAAGACATTTCGCTTCTATAGGGAACACATTGTAAAATCTTTTGTGCTCACGTAATGTACTCCTTAGTCCTCCTCATGATATGCAGAGTGAGGGGGTTGATTCCAGCTGGCAGTTTCTCTTCTGCCTGAATTAAAGGAATCTCCTCTCCAGTGTCTAGATTCTTGATCATCACACTGGCCAGGATTTCCTGTTATCAGAAAACATAGTAAATGTTTTGCTGCTAAATTGTAAATTAAGCTTGAAATTAAAAACCTCATCAGTCAGTTCTCTTCCAGAGTTGGAGCGTGGACGCTGAGAACCTGGGGATGACGTTCCACTTTGAGAGCAAGGTTGTTCATCCTCATTTTCCTTAAAACAAAACACATTATAATGCTTTATTCTGTATCATAAGTACAGATCTATCTTACCTGCGCAGTGACCACCTTGTCCCCACTTGTTGCACTAGCTAAATCCAGAGAATGGAGCAGGTCTTTGGTCAGACTCCTCACTGTGCTGCCCGGAGACAACAGGCCCGAAGGCTCTGAGACTTCAGGACTGATAGAGTTTCCTTCCAGAACTGAAAGCAACATAGATATTGAGATAAGTATTTCTGTTTTACTATAAGAAAACATCAATATTGTGCACACAAACATAACATTCACATGCATAAAACAGACCACAACAAACTATAGCAACACTTCTGAACGACTTAATATGGCTACTAGTGTGTTTACCTTCAAGTCCACTTGGCCTTAGAGATTCCTGAGACTTTTTTGAAGGGAGAGTTTGTCTGGATGGTGGGGGCGGTCGCGGGGGTGGACCTCCGCTGGGAGGTGGTGGACGTGAGGGAGGAGGCTTCTTGGTGCTAGCAACAATGTCCGGTTCCACTGTAAACTGGCGTGGAGGTTTAGAGGGTCCGGATTGATCAGAGTCTGCTGAATGGTCTAATAGTGGGACCTGGTCTAAAAGGTCTGCAGGTCTCAGTTCATCTCCTGGAGCTGTGCGTGTCCCATCAGGCTGTCCTAAAGTACTGGTAATATCTGGAGGCTGAAAAACGTCCTGTGAGGCTCTGAGCTCTGAGATGTCCAGTGATTCTGGTGCTGAAACTCTTGCGTTGTTTGTCTCTGCACCTTCGGATCGTTCTTCCTCACTCTCCACACAACGAGGATACTCAGCTTCCTCCACTTGCTCCAAAGGAACTTCCTGAGCTTCATTCTCTTCCGCTGGTGGCTCCGCTCTTTCAACAGTATTAAGATTATCAAGCAGGGGAGTCGCATCATCAGCACTTCCTTTTTGGCTTTCTTCTATGATACTGTCAATGATCTATAAAAAAAGAACAGACAGACTTTCACTGACACACAGTTACAAGCAGAAAAGTGTACATTCCTTAAAAGGGACTTTATGGAATGCTGTCTTATTTAAAATTACACACCCATCTTTTATCAGTCTTCCAAGACAACAACTCAAAATGTGCAAATCATATTTGGCTTTGATCAAATTGTTAATGGCAATTTATATAATAATAATAATAATGCTATATTATTTGTGTTAACACTGATTGGATTTGAGTTGCAAATTTCTTTGGTGAAACCCAGCTGTTTGGATCTCATGTGTCTGTGTTCTACATGCAGGGATACTGGCAACTAAAGCTGTAACTATCGATTATTTTTGATTAACAAATCTAGTGATTATGCTTTCAATGGAAATTGTATATTTAATGACAAAAAGGGCACTGGATATACAAAAGTCAAGGTTGAGAGAAAAGCTTTACCTGAAGAGAGTCATCTTGGGGAATGGCAGCAGGCAGATTTGTCTCATTGCCATCCTCTTTTACAGTGTTAAAAGATCTCTGTACAGCCTGTTGAATATAGACCAAAACAAACTTACCAACCACAATAAAAACTATTCAATTATGCTTCAAAACAACAGAAAAATGAAAGAAAACTTATTTACTGCTTGCCAATAGGCTGACATTCAGAGATGATCAGACAGTAAAAAGAGCTATCGTTTCAATATTTATGTATTAATTTATTTCCATGGACCCCTGACGTAAAAAACAAACACATCAACTGACAAATATGTTGTAAAAAAAACCACAAAGTGTTTGGAAGAACAGAAAGCCATTTTATACAAACATACCTTTGGTGAGGGAATGACGAACTTTGCAGGTGACCTACAACACACAGAAGTAACACTCAGCACAAGCATGCAAACAGGGGAGGGGTGTTCTCTCATCTATTTTACATTTTTGCTTTTAAATGTTATCAATTTGAGTTTTAGTTTGAATTAACTTTGCCAAACAAATGAATTTTGAACAGGTAACTGTAAACGAACATGTCATGTCAACAATCGCTGGTTATAACTTAATGTCCCTTCGTGTAATAAAATGATTGTAAAGATTTGACAGAAAGGGCAAGCACGATTTGCGACTCACGGCAACTTCCGGTGACTCGCGTGACTCAGGCGCTGTGAGCCGCGACTCAGCAGCCAGAAGTCGTGACTCACGGTTAAAAATAACACAATTCTTTGCTTCTCAGGGGTATCTGGGAATGATCAATGAGACAATATGGATCTGGAGGCATTGTTTACAAGTAATCAGTATGTTAGACACTCTACATCAGCTAGTATGTGTTTGTATAGCAGTCCATGTCCGTTAACCACTGACTCAGGCGCTGTGAGCCGCGACTCAGCAGCCAGAAGTCGTGGCTCACGGTTATCAATTTAACTTTTTAGGGGTATCTGTGGATTATCAATGACACATTGTGGATCTGGAGGCATATATTTACAAGTAACCAGTATGTTACACACTCTTGATCATCTGGTATGTGTTTATATAGCTCTCCATGTTCGTTAACCACTGACTCAGGAGCTGTGAGTCGCGACTCAGCAGTCAGAAGTCGAGGCTCACAGTTAAAAATACCACAAATCTTTGCTTTTTAGGGGTTTCTGGGAATTTCTATTGAGACAATATGGATCTGGAGGCATAGTTTACATGTAATCAGTATGTTACACACTCTTCATCAGCTGGTATTTGTTTGTATAGATCTCTATGAACTGTTCACCACTGACTCACAGCTCCTGAGTCGCGGCTCAGGAGCTGTGAGTCGCGGCTCAGCAGTCAGAAGTCATGGCTCACGGTTAAAAATACCACAAATCTGTGCTTTTTAGGGGTATCTGGGAATTATTAGGGGCAACAGTGACTCAATTGGCAGAGCTTTGGTCTTTGGACCTAATGATCGTGGGGTCGTGCCCCCACAACCACCTGCTCCCACTGAAGCAAGACGCCCCATCGTGGTATCTTATATACAGTCATGGGACCTCATGAATGAGTATGAGTACAAGTATGTGATAACGGCACAATACTAATATTGGTATTGGTGCATCCTTAGTAAAATAAACAGACTATAAAAGAAATGTCAGGTTTACAGTCATAGTGCAAGTGGTTGATTAAGTGATACAGGCCTAAATACAGATTATTACATGTATTTGCAGGGCTTATTTCATATTCTAATGAAAAATACTTTTTAGGAGTATTTATGAATTATTAATGTATCTGGATGAACATTTTCCATGTCCTCAGTGCCTCATACATACTTTACCAGCTGATATATGTTTGTATTACTCTATTGTTAACAAGTGACCTACGAGACATAAGTCAGGACTCGTCTGCTGACACCAGGGGGCGCTGTCTAATCTCATGTTGAATCCTGCACGACGTTGGACATCTCGCTTGCAATTTAAATTTCACCAAAATATTGAGGTAAGTTATTTTGTTTCGTTTTTTGGAGTCTGTCTTTTAATCATTTTAAAGGGCATGAAACTTGTGTAAAATTCCTTGGTTGTAATTCTGTGGCTTCAAAGAATACACAAAACTTGCAGATACAGAGCAGAGTGTATACTCCATAGGACAAAAGATGAGGCAAGGTGTATAACACAGGTTTGGTCACATAAGAAATAAATAACTAAAAAACCACTGAGACATTATTATTTGTTATTTATTAATAATGCTAAAGGCATTTGAAAAAATACAAACAATACACAAACAAACACAATTATAAAAGCCACTTGTACCAATTTGTCCTTATAGTAAAATAATGTGGATGACAAAGTGAGCCAAGAACCCAGAGTAGAGATTTCTTTGTCTTTGAACAAACACAAACATCAGGGCATTTCATTTCAGGGCATTTTCATTCTAAAAAAAATGATTATTGTTAACTTTGGAGGATAGTGTGCTGAGGTGGACTTACTATTGTAAATAGAGAATTAAAGAGAAAGACCCTAATGACATAATTTTATATGATCATGTTACCGAACCCAGATGTTCAAAATACAGAATTCAAGTAACTTCTGTTGTGGTGAAATGTTTGAAGATGCTTATTTGAGCCTTTGGTGGCCCAGCGGCTGTATGACTGCTGCACGGCACTTTCCCTCATAACTGCCTCCGTGATCATCCTGAATCAAATGTTTTAGGGTTTCCAAAAGTGTAGCTCCCTTAAACCCTTTAAACATCTGATCCTGGAGCATTATACAGGATACAAATGCAGTGGAAATACAGGTGTCATGCTGCAGCCATCAAGACATGTTTTTCTCCTTAATGCCTCTTTTCTCTCATTTCTTTTCTGTGCAAAAATTAAGTGTAGTTAACCGGTTATTCTTGAATTACAGAACTACTGAGACGACACATCAAGATGAGCCACACACAGAAGAGAAGGAAAACAAACTTTATAAAAAAATGCACAACGTAATTCACTTTAATAGACCAATTATAAAGAATAAAGATTTGGTTTAGGTTTGATACATTTCAGTTTTGCACTTGGCTGTAGCTAATACATTTGCACACATTGCACTATAACATGAACATTTGTTTCCACATGAGCTGTTACTTTGTCTCCCAATACAGGAACATATACAGCTCAGTCATGAATAGCAGCAGAGTGGTGCCGCACATCACTGGAAGGACATGTTGAGCTACGTGCTAATGTGTAGAATAAGCCCACACCTGTTCACTGTCTCAATCAAAAAGGTGTTGCTGCGGGTTCGAAGTAGTAGGGTCATTCTGCGACCTGCAGGACAGAGGCGTGTCGTGAACTAGGCGTGTAAACTATGCCTCCAGGTCCATATAGTCTCATTAGAAATTCCCAGATACCCCTAAAAAGCAAAAATATGCTGTATTTTAACTGTGAGCCACAACTCACAGCTTCCTGAGCCACGACTCACAGCTCCTGAGCCACGCTCACAGCTCCTGAGCCGCGACTCACAGCTCCTGAGCCGCGACTCACAGCTCCTGAGCCGCGACTCACAGCTCCTGAGCCGCGACTCACAGCTCCTGAGCCGCGACTCACAGCTCCTGAGCCGCGACTCACAGCTCCTGAGCCGCGACTCACAGCTCCTGAGCCGCGACTCACAGCTCCTGAGCCGCGACTCACAGCTCCTGAGCCGCGACTCACAGCTCCTGAGCCGCGACTCACAGCTCCTGAGCCGCGACTCACAGCTCCTGAGCCGCGACTCACAGCTCCTGAGCCGCGACTCACAGCTCCTGAGCCGCGACTCACAGCTCCTGAGCCGCGACTCACAGCTCCTGAGCCGCGACTCACAGCTCCTGAGCCGCGACTCACAGCTCCTGAGTCAGTGGTTAACGAACATGGAGAGCTATATACACACATACCAGATGATCAAGAGTGTGTAACATACTGGTTACTTGTAAATATATGCCTCCAGATCCACAATGTGTCATTGATAATCCACAGATACCCCTAAAAAGTTAAATTGATAACCGTGAGCCACGACTTCTGGCTGCTGAGTCGCGGCTCACAGCGCCTGAGTCAGTGGTTAACGGACATGGACTGCTATACAAACACATACTAGCTGATGTAGAGTGTCTAACATACTGATTACTTGTAAACAATGCCTCCAGATCCATATTGTCTCATTGATCATTCCCAGATACCCCTGAGAAGCAAAGAATTGTGTTATTTTTAACCGTGAGTCACGACTTCTGGCTGCTGAGTCGCGGCTCACAGCGCCTGAGTCACGCGAGTCACCGGAAGTTGCCGTGAGTCGCAAATCGTGCTTGCCCTCTCTCAGATTTGAACCAACGGGATTTCTATCACAAATGACACGGTTCAACCCAAAACGAACTCGACAGCACGAATAATTTAAAGCACCACTTACACTTTTGGAGACGGTGTAAAATTCACGTCTTCTGGGGCATCGTAGAACTCCTCAGTGTCACTTGTATCAGACGCCATGCTAGCATGAAATTAGCACCCAGCTAATCCACGTTTGCAAACAGCTGTTTAAAAGTTATCTCCTCTTATGCGTTGGACACATTGAGCTTCTTCCTTTATAAAAAAAATCTTTACAGTCCATAGGGTATCTGGCCCTTCGCCGTCAAAGAGCCCTTGTCTTGTCATGTCATAGTCGTACAGTGTGTTAGCCGTGTGCTAAAAATCAAAAAACAAGAAACATGCAACGTATGTTGCGTTAAACGTTAACGCATCAAATAACAGTGTAACATACGGAGGACTATCCTGTTGTAGTGTGAAAAGCAACTGTTTATACAGTGCAGTGGAGCTGTCAATCTACCTAACGGAGTGATCGCGCATAAACAAAACAGAGAAGGGAAAAAACTACATCAGTGACACAAAGGCGGGGCAGGTTTCACTGTGAGCTGCCTGCTGCCGTGGCCCTCTAGTGGACGGACGGAAGCACAGCTACCAAGTCGGATGATCAGTCAATGGTTACATATTTTAAAGTGCGGTTCTCTCGTAAATATAATACATCCATGGGTTCTCTAGAATCTGCTATTTTACTCTTGTGTGTAAAACTAAGATAACACGTTATGGACGAAAATAAGTTGTTTGTGAAATTAATATTGATAACACAGTACTAAAGTCACTACTTCCAAGGCTTGAGTGAAGGGTTTTAGTGAGTTTAGTAAACAGTTAGTTAGGTAAATGCACAATATCGTTAATTCACGTGTTGGTAACCAAAAAAAAGTTTGTAATATTTCTATATTTATCATTTAAAAAACAGCGGTTACTGGATATCACTCCAAAACAAGACTGTTCCTTATGGCATAATTCTTTATTAGTTTTACTTTTTACAATTGTATTCTTTCTTATTGACAGTATACTTTATTTAGAAACGGAAGTTTTTAGCCAATGACCAGAGATTGCCATGGGCTTTCACCAATAGAAAGTTGAGATGTTCCGTGTTTTTCAGTAATCCTGAACCCGATTGGTTGGACAGTGAAGGAGGTTATATGTAGTGTAAGTGGATTTGAGGGGCTTGGGAGGAAAACAAGGACGCTAGTTATTGCTCTCTCCGCTGAAGGTATGAATTTGTTTTTCCACAACTTTTACAAATCAAATCTCATCTAAATCCAGCGACTAATGCACATAATTGGTTATTCCGAGTTAAATTAGTACGTGTCAGATTGTTATACTGTTTATTTGAAGGTGGTGGCAGAGAAACCACACCAACTCATAGTTAACTAGCGCAACAAACTTATCTTAACATCTCAGTGGCGTGTTTGCTATCCCAACATTCCAGTTGCATTAAACATATATGTGTAAATGTGATTCATAAAAACGAGACAGTCGTCATTCTTTTTAAATAGAGTGTGTTCCTTTTAAAGGCTAGCTTAGCCAGTTAGCTTAGCCACCTAGCCGCTTCCCTCTGGAGGCACTGCACACAGCAACATGGCCATAAAATTAGCAGCTCTCGGGTCTCCAGCAGCAGTGTCTGCCGAGCCGCCTCAGTGACAGTACAGGTGGTGTGGGGCTTATAAACACTCACATGTCCAACAACAAGGAGAGCCTTAGAGCAGCTGGCTTTTCTCCCACGATAGGCATTTGTTTAAGCTTGTCACCAACTATTCTGGCATTTAGTTATATGTAAAATTAGCTTTCACACAGTGAGTTCCATGAACTGGACCGTATTTCAGTGTTTGCTCTTACTGTTCTACAATTACATTGCAAATAGCACACACACATGTAGCTGCATATGTGGTCCTTGAGCTATCTGATGTTGTTCTTATCTGTGTTTTTTTTTTTGGTCTGTTTAATGTTTATTGAGTACTGTGGTGTATTCAAATGTATATGATACAAAGCATGTGAACCCCTGTCCCAAGACGAATTTCTCCTATGGGAGACAATAACGTAGAGTATAAAGTAGAGTATATCTTATCTTCTTCCAATTTGATGCAATCTTCTTTTACTTTGATGAAGCGTAGTCTATAGTTGTGCTACATTATGATGAACAATGATGAACAATGAGCGAGTTCTTCTCGAGCTTCACATTTATTTTTAGATCCATTTAGCCCAGTTTCTTGTGAAGCAACACGTTTCATTTGCTACAGTGTCAATTCTAGTGATATCTTTTTTTTATTGTGCTGGCATTGTAACCTGTTGGATTTCTTTCCTAATAATATCAGTAATCTGATATGTGATGTCCTTTTCACCATTATTTCAGTGTGGTTTTGGCGAGGGTATGGAGCACCCTATTCACAGAGGGGAAACCATGCCTGTTGGACTTCATGACAGGTGAGAACATCATTATTAATTTGTTCGAGGCATTGTTAGTTCTAATTTTTTTGTTTGTGTGGAAACCCTATCAACTAACGAATTATATGGCTGAGGAGAAAAATGTCAAGGCAGTGGCACCCATTACAAGAGTGGTATTTTAAAATTACACATAATAATCTGTCTCCCTTATCATCATTCTGTGTTTGCCATCACATTTTGTGAAGTTTTCATACACATTTTAATCGTCAATTATTTGATGACTGTTTTCATTCATATGACGTTGCGGCTGAATGGGTAGTTCTCGGGGCTCACAGCAAGAAGGTTGTGGGTTTGATCCAGTGTCAACTCGGTCCTTTCTTTGTGGCGTTTGCATGTTTCCATAGGTCAAAATCAAGTAGTCCCATAGGTCAAATCAAGTAGTCTCATACAAACTGCGCATCAGTATCTCAAGATTGGTCCCCAGGGGCAGCAGTTACCACTGCTCCTTACGGGTTTCCCTATAGCAACATTGGAGAATGGGTAAAAGTCTGAGAAGGAGTACAATAAAGTATACCTTGATCTTAACTGTAAGGAAAATGGTGCCTGACATATTGCCAAACTAGATTATTAGCAGTGTTTGTGAATGGAGAAATGGGAGAGGAATTTAGCCACTGGATAAGGACATTTATGCTGTCAGCGAAGCTTAAGTTCCTGTTTTACAGAGGTGAGTAAATAAATTATAATAGTTGGTTTTGCCGTTTCCTCCCTCAGTCTTAGTCCTTCTGCTGTTGATGCTCTTAGTGGATGTCCGTCTTAGTGTCATATCTGAATTGTATCAATGCTTTTACAACAACTAATAGCAGTCCACAGTGTCACAGGGATGAGCATCCCAACTAATGTACCGTGGAAGTAATCAGTGGTCTCCCATGACAAGAACAGGTGAATAAAGAAATGTATGCCACCAGTGAGATATAAACATTCAATAAAATATATTGAAAAAGCAACAAAATAAATTGTATAGATTTTCCAATAAAATTCCAGTCGATTCCTATTAAAACTTTTGCTTCTTAAAATGCTTTGTCTTCACAGAACCTAGTTATATTGTATCATGCGGAGAAATCTCTATAGATATTGAGATATGGACAAAATATAAAATTGTTCATTCTTAGTTTACATCCACCGAAGGAAAAATTACTTTGTCAAAAATCCCGATATTTACCCCAATTAACAGTTTCTGTGCTTGGTCAGGTGGATCAATACATAATTTGTATTTTAATGTCAAAAAGGTGGAACATTTTATTTTTTTAAATTTTGTTCATTACTTCTCATCATTGGAGGGTCAGAAGTTTACATACACACACTTAATTGGTAAATTTTGCTTTTAAAGTAGGGGCGACAGTAGCTCAGTTGGTAGAGCATTGGCCTTTGAGCCTGAAGGTCGTGGGTTCAAGCCCACCGTAAGATCTACTTCACGACTCCCACTGATGACTGCTGTCGTTGTGTCTTTGGGCAAGACACTTAACCCCACTTTGCCTGAAGCCCCCACTGAAAGATCTCAGCTCCTGTGGACTCACCACCTGCAGGAGGATCAGTGAGGGGCTGGTGCTCTGTGGACTGGGTGGCATCTCTGGCCACCCCCCTGACCCAGAAATGGATTAAGGGGAAGAAAATGGATGGATGGATGGGCTTTTAAAGTAAATTAGTGACAGAACTGATGTTTTTGTGCCTTCTTATCTGGACCTGCTTTTTCAGATATAAAAAAATATTTTTGCTTTTGATTTGTGTGACGCAGCCCTAGCATTGAGAATCCCAGGTGCCACAGACAAGCGGCTGATGCTGCTAATTGGCCTTTCTTATCCATCTGTCTGCCCCAGCTCAACACCATTGTGTCTGTGTGAAGTGAATGAATGTAGCGGTGTGGTCCGTGTACTTTTACGTTCAATACATTTTCTATTTTTGAAGGAAAATGGAAAATTTAAAAAAGGCTATATTGCACTTTCAGGTTTTTGTTAATTTCTTATAAGACATGTATATTGTAATAACCAGATTTGGGAACTATAAAATGCAATAATTAACCTTTTTTGTTGTGCATTTAATACATTTCGGCGTCAATCGATTACCCGGAAGTGAAACGAGTTCGTTTACTTCAGCCCGGGATTAGTGTTACCCAGAGACTGTAGTGGACCCCTGAGATCTTAAGTCCTGTGCGAATGCGCCATGTCTGTAATTTGTAAAGTAATAATTCCGCCACAAATGACCTCCTGTATTTGTCCAAACACAGACGTCCTGTGATAATACTTATCCTGCGAATCTTGTCAGTTATTGTGATTCCTAATGCAGCTTTTTCTACTTTCTGTGTTGTTTTTTGTTAATGAGCAGAGGAGTCGCGTATCGCGGCTGTGAACACAGCTGCAGAGTCGCGGCTGCTGCTGTGTCTGTGAGGTCTATGGAGAAGTTTTGAGGACAGTGTAATGTGGTGCGTTCATGGATAGTCCGTAAAAACAGCATTGTTAAACTTTACAGACAGCACTGTAGCGCAGTAAAATCCACATGTATGTGTTTGTCTTCATGGTCCCTGTGGCTGCTGTGGTCAGACGTCAGTCTTTATGAACTGCGTGAAGCGGCACGTGCCGCCGTTATGTCAGATGTCAGAGAAAATATAGTAATTTACAGATATTGCTTATCCCGTGTGAATGCACTGCAAGATCTCAGACGTCCTCCATAATGATCACAAATTACCAAGGGTCCACAGGTAATACTAATCCCGTGCGAAGTGAACAAACTTGTTTCACTTCCGGGTAATCGATTGACGTCGAAATGTATTAAAAACAAAATGTCTTATAAGAAATGAATAAAACCAAAATGGTCATTTTGTTTATTGCTGTGTGCCTGAAAGTGCAAAATAGCCTTTTTTTGATATTCCATTTCCAGTCAAAAATAGAAAAGGCATTGAACGCAAAAGTACACGGACCCGGTGTAAACCATGTTGAGTGTCAAGAAAAGTTCTATAGGTCCAATCACTTGTAGCCTGGTCTTAGCCATCCGTACACTCCGCTCAATCATAATTTCACTGCATGTAATGTCTGGGTCTCGTCCTTGGGTTAGCGATTACAATCGGTTGAATTTCGACCAACCAATCAGAGAGCGCGGAAGGAGAGTGTTGTATTTAGTTGTGGGTGATGTCAAGAGTTTGCGTCTAACGCGAAGGTCGGAGTTTGGCAATGGCGAAAAATGGGATAGTAAAGTAATCCGGTCTGGTTCTATCAAGATATTGAAGCCGGAGCAAGAGGAATGTTTAGCAAATGTGATCGCTAGAAAAAATTGTGGCGCCACTCCCCACGGGCTCCGTTAGTGGCAAAGGAGATGGCTAGGCTAAATGCTAAATGCTAACAACTCACGGTAAACTCGGATCCAATCGTTTCAATCTGCAAAAAAGAGTTAACCCCCCCACCTGTTAACGGAGCTCAATGACCTCCAGACCTTAGTACGAAATGTAATTTGTACTATAGTGTGGTACGACCAGGCTGAATCACTAGTATTGGTTGTAAATGAATACATTATATTGTGGCAGTATTTCAGTGTGCCTTTATGAAGTTACACATAAAGATAATTCTTCAGATTGTATCTTCTCCTCAGTGGACTTTATATAGAATAAATAATATACATAAAACATGGAATAAGAAATGATCAGGATCAGCTAAACACTCCAATCTCCCAAATTTAAAAATCTAAACATAATGATCTAATTGAAGTCAGTTTTTAAGAAATCAGCTTGACATTATAAATGATTAAAAGTAATTATAAGGCGGAGGCCTTTGTGCCAGTTTGTGTCCGAAGTTCTATGAATTTCTATATGGAGGTAAAAACTAGGATTAGGGAACAATGTTGTAAAATGTGCATGGCGTCCTTTTATGAGACCTTTTGTGGTAAAATACATTAGATCTTTAAAACTGATAAAGTGTAAAAATATAAATTGTTAATCTCTGCCTGCCATTTGGTCCTGAGTGTGGCATCTATTTTAACATTATGCCACCAGTGTAATCACAACTGCTTTAACAAGGTGGCACTGTTGCTTAGCTACTGGGCTATTCATGAACCCTCTGAGGCTGTTGGGAGGGAGGACAGCTTCCCCCTCCTACAAGAAGAGAGCTGTGAATGCAGTAAGGCAGCCTCTCAGCGTTGCCGCTAAAGTCAGCCTGTGTGAACCTGCACTGCCTCAACCAGTGCATTTGTTTATCTACTGCTTCCACCACTGCCCTCCCCTTTTAAATGGTGTGGGCAGAGTGGGATGGAAGACTGCATTGGAAGCCTTTTCATGAACATGGTCTTTGCTGTTGGTTCTGCTCGTGCACCGACCTGGTGACAACAACATGCCGTTAAAATGGAAAAGCGGTTCCCCTGTCAGCTGGAAATTCCCAGTGCCAGTGCTTAAGACATCCCGTTCCTCACCTCTTTCGCCTGCTTACATGTGAGTATCTGCTTCATTGCTAAGCCTCTTGCAATCGTGCTTCAGATGTGGATTTAGCTGCTTTGCATCTCAAATGTTGTATTGATGATTAAATACACAAAAGCAGGTTGTTTGTGAGTAGCTTTATTTGGACAGACTGTGACAGGAGCATTGTAGCGTGTGATAGGATTTGCCTCGTCCAGCATGCGTTTTACAGCTCTCTGGCACAGTGCTTAGCATCTGGGACAAGTAGCATTTGCCGCTTGTGACTGGACATCCTCGACTCTTGCCCTCTCCCTGTGCCTGTGTTTATTTGGGAGAGGAGACTCAGCAGCTTGGGAGGAGCCTGCCTTTGTCAGGATGTCTGGCGTGCCCTGGTTTAGAAGCTATTGTCATCTGCTACTGTGCAGGAGGGGGGAGGGTAAAGCGCCTCGCACAGCTCGCTTCCCTGCCCTTTCATGTGCTGCTCAAATGGACAAGTCAAGTGTGCAATGGGACTTTTGATTAGTCGCTTGGAACTGGCCTACATAGTCAGCCAATTGTCTGCAATTAATTAGCACTAATCTTTTACACACACTTAAAACAATCCCAT